TGTGAGCTGCAGGTGCTGGTCTGCTTTTGGTGCAGACGCCTCAGGAGCTGTGGTCTGTAGAAGTTTCCAACCACAGTGTTTCCCCTCTGTCTCACACACACACACACACACACACACACACACACACACACACACACACACACACACACACACACACACACACACACACACACACACACACACACACACCCACACACACACACACACACACACACACACACACACACACACACACACACACACACACACACACACACACACACACACACACACACACAGCTCCTCTCGCTGGTTTCAAGCCTGTTTCCAGGCAGCAGGTCAGTGGTGTGTGTGTACGTGTGTATTTGTGTGTGTTCAAACATGAGGTCTTGCTTTGCGTCTTCACTCCAGTAGATATGAAGTCAGGACTTTGTCGTCTAACTCTCTTGTGCTCTTTATAAATACAACCATGAATCATTTTACTATTGTTATACGAAGTAGTCACCTTCTTGGATGTTTTAACTTTTTATTGTTCGTGACTGACCACAACTATTATATTTTTCTTTTTTACTGTTTCATAATGCCAGAAGGTTTGAGTTTTGAGAGATGATAGTTTTGTTGCATGTCTGTGTGTGTCTTTTACACTTTATATTTTTGCTGTTGTTGGATGTAATTGGGACCATGTGTACACAATTTCCTTCCACCTCATGCGCCACAGGTGATGTGAATGACAATAAAGACCTTGACTTTGAACCTTAAAGAACTTTTGATTCAACATTTGTCCTATATTTACTTTATCTTCCAGTGACTCCAGAAACTTTATACATTTAGGCTAAAAACACATATAAACAGTTCAAATTAATCAGAAACACTTCTTACATGGCAACAACCCAAACATTTAGCAGTCAGAGTTTAATGCTAGAGTTTAGTTAGCTATTCAAACAAATTACAAATTTAACTTTGAATGCTTTTTAATCTATACCTACAAGGAATTGGGTAAATAATAGCTGCAAATCCTTCATTTAGAGACTTCCAGACATTGCTCATTAATAATCTGCTGGTTGGATTATGGTCAAAATGTCTCAATTGGAGACTGTGTGTGTGTTCAGGCTCCTGACTGTAGCGTGGTCGGCTCCGGTGAGAAGATCCTGCTGTTCAGACATCGACCTGCCTCCGAGCAGCTGCTGCAGCGACTAACAGACGAGGACGAGCTGCAGGACGGGGACCTCATCGAGGTCATCATCGCAGGTCAGATGTCCAAAAGATTTCAAACCACCAATGGGGAGATGAATAGACAAGATTTTGTCTGTTTTTCCTGCTGTCTTTGAAGGTAGCATGCTGCTGGGTTGCAGAGCACAATTCAGTTTCAAAAAAGTTGGGATGTTGTGTAAAATATAAACAAAGACAAAATACAATGATTTGCTAACATTGTAAATCAATATTTTCTTCACAGTGCAGCATAGAAAACAGGAAACGTTTAAGATACTGTACCATTTTTGGCGAAAAAAGTTATTTTGAATTTCTTGGCAACAGCGTATCTCAAAGGTGGGACAGGAGCAACTAAAAGCCATAAGTAAGTTAATTTGGGATTAATAAAGTACAGAATTGAATTCCAGGTCACTTCTTGTGTCACGGTCAGACTTGTTGAAGCTGCCTGTTTATCTGTAACGCAGACTCCCTAAGGTTTCTGTTGTTTATAGATTTGCACTTGTTTGACCATTACAACGCTGCTAAATCCCACAGTAGAGACCAGTTAAGCCTCAGGCTTTAAGGTGGATCAAGTAACTACGAGTCAGTGGGAAACAGAGCGACCATCAGGGACAGAAACGCACCGAGGCTGCTTCTTTTGACCTGAACTCTGCCTGCAGCTGTCAATGATGACCACATCCAGGAACCAAGATGTTGAAACACGTTCTCTTTCTGTTTTCTTGTTTATATTCGGAATAATAATTCACTCAGTTGAACTAAACATGCACAATTTGCTGCTAAGCTGCTGCCCCTGGAATCATGTTTTTATAACGCAGAATAAAAATGCACCTGCCTACGTTCTTACGGTTGCTGATATCATTTGTATGTTTCCATGGAAACGTTTGCTCTGTGGCATCACGGCCGAGCGCTCCTCAATCCCTCTGATTTCTGACCCGACTCAGGATCGGTCTCGGTAGCTGAGGTGAGGATGCGTCCGCACTCCCTGCTGGTCCAGTCGTACCGGACTCCCACGTTCTGCCACCACTGTGGGGAGATGCTGTGGGGCCTCGTGCGACAGGGGTTAAAATGTGAAGGTAAGATGGGTCATGAAACAAAAGTTTCATTTTTAAAACTCGTTAAATGCTGCAAACGTTGGTTAGCATTTCTTGAAGAACACCATTTTGACTTTAAAGCTTTTTTTTTGTACCATAGCTTTAAACTAAGAGAAATTATGAAATTCTACTTGTTTTTGTCAAATTTTGTTACTGAAAATAACGTTATGCACAATTTCATTGGATTGTGAGATCACTCAAAGTTTGTGTTGTGGATTACTCTCAGCTACTACCATGCCAAATTCTTGTTCAATGATCTGAATTATAGCTATATGTGTGTTGTCTGAAGTCAGGTGGCCGTGGTAGCCATCGTGAATCGTGTTTACTTCAGAAGTTTTTCAGTTATAGACGTAGCTGCAGTGAGTTTTGTTAACACCCGTCCAGTAGTTCATGAGATATTTAGCTCGATCTTTGACAGGTCCACCATTTGACAGCTACGTTTTCAACATAGATCTCACGCATTCAGTTTGCGCTCAGAGTTTGTGTTTTGGATAACTTTCAGCTACGACTAAGCCAAAGTTTAGCTCGGTGTCTGTAAAAGTGAGAGTTCTCTCCGTTTGGTTGCTAAATGGTGACATCCCTCGTGTATCAGGTCGACTCCAGTCAGCTTTAGATGTACATCCAATTACTTTCTGAGAGTTTTAATTGTTAGGATAATTTAATATTATCCTTTCAATAGCTCTTAAAATAAATATGCCACACAGGAGAGGTAGATAATTTTCTTAATCCCAGGTTTAATCTTGCAAGATGAAGCAAATACAAGCATAAAAATGTTACGTGGCACTCCATGTCTGCTCAAAGAGAACATGAGGAAGCGTCTTTATAAAGGTTATCAGACAAAGGCAAGGTCAGACGACTCTTGCAGCCTCCTTGCTTATTCGAGTGAAAGGCTCCATGCTCCTGCAGCACCCAGTCCAGTCATAACAACCCTTAACACACACACATATGGTAATATGAGTTACATAACATTTGACATTAATAAGTGAAAAACATGTGACCTTTTAAATCTCCATCATCAATAAAATCCACCCTAAAGTTTCATGAAATATTTTGCTAACAGACAAACACTTGATGGTGATGGGTGTTCTGAATTTCTCACACTGTGCCTCTGTTGTCCTCTGTCAGGGTGTGGATTAGACTTCCACAAACGATGTGCTTTCCTGCTGCCTGACAACTGCAGTCGCGTTCGACGTCAAGTCAGCACCAGCTTCTCTTTGTTCCCGCCACGGCGACCGCCGACCATCTCACTGTCCAATCAGGCTGGAGGCAGTCTGGAGGAGGTATCAGAAGAATCGCAGTGAAGGAGCTCACAGATTACTCTGACCTCTCCTGACCTGTTCCCTCTGTCCTCGCTCAGATCAGCATGTCCAAACCGTCGTCAAGGCCTCCGTCGTGGAACGAGCCTCCGGTCTGGTTGGTCGGGTGTGGAGACCGGAGCAGACCTCAGGTCCCCCACACCTTCCACATCCACAGCTACACCAAACCCACGGTGTGTCAGCACTGCCACCGGCTGCTCAAGGGCCTCTTCAGACAGGGGCTGCAGTGCTCAGGTCAGCTCCAGCCCAAACATAAAGAACACAGAAACAAAACGGAACACTTGAAAACGCAGGACAGAACCTGTTGGAGAAAAATGTTCTCGCTTCATCTCACTTACTCAAAAGGAGCCACACTCGACGGCAGGGAAATGTTTTAACCCGTATTTACTTGCAAGGTCAGATTTTTAGGACAGGCTACACAGGAAGTACACGCATGAAGCCCAGTCACAAGAATCTGCCGCGAGCAGTGTGTGACGCTCGTTTTTATACGCTTGTTCAGCCGAGCTCACACACTCAGAGGTGAAGTTGGAGTGCCAGCTGCACCCTGCAGCCTCACTCAGCTCCTCATCCAGCTTTCTACTAACCCTAACATACGATTCATGGGCAGAGCTGAACATTCTCAGACAGAGCTGTTAAAAACATCCATAAATTTTGCCCCAAAAAAATCCCTAACAGAACCCACATGTGGGGGCAGAGAAGAAAAAAATACTTGAAATAGGATTCAAATAGTAAATTAGTTTTGCAGGCTGAATCTAAAAAAGCAGCACTTATTAATGAGACTGAGCAGATGTTTTGTGGAAAAATTATGTTTAGTTAGTGTCTTACCTGTTGTAGATACCTCTTTGAACAACATCATTCTATAGAAATAAAGTCTAAATACATAAATAAAGGAATATCATGTTATTCCGAATGGCTCTTGGGTTAAAGACTAATAAATGCAGCTCCTGTTCCTGCAGAGGTGGACTCCTGTTTTGGATCAGGATCTCCTCATCCGTCCACAGATGACTTGGAACTAATTTTCTTGAACGCCTCAACATGTCCCAATGCTCCGTATGTGTTGGGGTGTGCGTACACGCTTAGCTGACATCTCTTTAAGTGCAGTACACGACTGTTTCAGGTCTGAGCCTTTCTCCACATCACCTTTGTTTTCCTCAGTGTGTCTTGACCCCCCCTCCCCCCATTGTTTCCTCAGACTGCAGGTTTAACTGCCATAAGCGCTGTGAGCCGCTGATCCCCAGAGACTGTCCAGGAGAGAAGAGAGGCATCAACGGGAACGGTGAGCACCAGTCCTGTTTTTCAGTTCTGGATCTGGTTCTTATGTTCACGTAACGTCCCGATGAGGTGAAACTGACTCACCCATCTTCACAGTAGGGGAGAGTGGGCCTGATTTTTCTTCCCAGAAATGTCATGTATTTTTTTATTTATTTATTTTTTAGGCGTGATGATGAGCAACACAATGATTCAGAGGAAAAAAGACAAAGCCTGTATGGATTTAAAAAATATTTTTATGATACGTTTCTGCCTCGTTTCTTTATGAGATCTCTCTGAGGTGTCTGACTCTTTTAGTTCAAGTGGCCTCGATGAAGCTCCTAAACTCAAGGAACGAGTCGTGTTGGGTCTGCACATTAAATCTCACACAGAAACAACCTTTTATTGGATCATTAGATACAGAACTGTCTAAAGTTCTTAACTTTGACCGTCACTTAAATTAGGAGTTATTAGTTTGTGGAAGTTTAATTCTAGTGGTTCATGAAATATTTATCAAAACAAAGTTCACGTCAAACAGCTGCTGGCGGTAGCTCTCAGAGTGCGAGTTGTAAATGACTCTCATCTACTTCCACAACAGATTTGAACTTGTTTTCTGTGAAACTGACTCAGTTGTGGCTGTTTTTGTGGGTCGATTGCGTTACTTTACCGTGGCGGACATCTTGAATCAGGTTTACTCTGAAAGTGAATCGGTTTTAGATGATCACTGCATCCATACTTTGAGTTTCATCTAAATCTATCCAGTGGTTCCTGAGATATTTTGCTAACAGAAAGACAAACAAACACAGGCAAATACAGTACTGATTGCCTTCCACCTTTTGGCAGCATTATTTGTAGATTTTCAGTAACAGAAAGAGCTTTGTTACGTTGTGTTGTTTGGAAACGATATAAAAGTTTTCTGTTATGAAGGAGAAATATGAACAAAGTCAGTGTTTTTATTAGACATAATTTAAAATACTTTCTGTTCCAGTTCTCAGAATCATTGTCCAAAACTCTCAGGTCATATTTTCACAATAGGTTTGAATAAGAACTTCTCTACTTTGTTTTGTTTCTTTCCTGTAACCTTCCTTTTTTTTTTTTTTCCTTCTTGCTCTTGGTGGAGGCGGACGCTTTTTCCTCCCGCTCCTTCCCCTGCTTCTGCTCTTTGTCCTGTGAAACTTTCGGAGCCTCTCATTGCATATCTTCTGAATTGTAAACTATGGATCTGGTCAGCTGGTCTCTCAACGCAATTGATCAAATTTTCTCAACGAGATGACAGGACGAAGGAGAACCCTCCTGCCCTGATGGGACATTTGCAGCCAGATACACGATGGATTCCCGGGGGCAGTGAAAGATCATATTGTCGGTTGAGGACGTTGAAGATGCCGACATAATTGGATTTATGATAACATGATTTTTGCTTTTTGGAGTTGGTGGGTACCTGGCATATTGACAAATTTGAAAAACGTTGGCAGCTGTTCTGGCCTGTGTGAAGGAATGTGCCGTGCTGTGAACACTCAGACTCAAATAATAATAATAATAATATTAATAATAATAATAATAATAATGTGTTGTCGTCATTGTATGTTCTCATGCAATGGTGAAATTAGCTCTCTGCATTTAACCCATCCACCCCCAGGTGGAGCAGTGGGCAGCTATTGAATGTGCCCAGGGAGCAATTGGGGATAATGTGTCCTGCTCAGAAACACCACGAGATGTGCAGTGACTGGGGATCGAACCTGGGACTTTCGGGTCCCAAGTCAGCTGCCCTGCCTCTACCTCACCTCGGCCCCCATAGTGAGCTGAGCTGTAAGCTGGACGTGATTTCTGCTGAGAATCTTAGTCTACTTGCAGCTCCTGAATCTTGCTGGCGGGAAGGAATCGACCTTGGAGAAGTTACAAGCTCTCGTGTTTCCTTTTCCTTATCTAACAAAAAAAGGCAGCGCCTCTCATGAGGCTGCAGCCTCAGGCACCCTGTCTTCCCATGTCTGTTGTTTGGTTGTTGCTGTTTCTTTGGACTGAAATTAAATTTCACTGTGCTTCGGGTGCAATGATAAAAAAAGGCTGATTCTGATTCTCTCAAGTAACTTCATGCTGGAACTTTCCCAGAATCCTCTGCAGCTGCTCACAGGTGCCCACAAGATGCAGAAGACAATGAGTCTGAGCTCTCAACCCTGGACGTCTCAGACGATGAGATGTCCACCGACTGTGACTCGCTGACTGACACCAGCGAGGCGGAGCAACCGAGAGAGCCGATGAGGTCAGAGGATCTCCTGAAGGTGTTCCATGTCTCATCCAGACCTTGAACCTGTGCTCCGACGCTGATCAACTCTTTGTTCTTGTCCTGCATCAGTCCGTGCTTCAGCAGCAACATCCCCCTGATGAGGCTCGTCCAGTCGGTTCATCACACTAAGAGGAGACCTGGGGGGGTCCTGAGGGAGGGGTGGCTGCTGCACCACACCAACGCCGACACACTGGTGAGAAGCACACATCATCCGGGCTTCCATGAATGAAGCTGACGGTCCAGTAAGAATTAAAAACGCTTCACATGAACAACTCCATCAGAGCTGCTGCTTCAAAAGAAAAAAAAAAAAAAAAAACATGGAGACAAAAGATGTAAACCTTTGGATAATCTGATCGATAAGAAAATAAAATCAGGCACAGAAATAATCAGATTATTTTTCTTTTGATGTTGTTTGTCAACAGATGAGTCAGGAACAAGGATTAGGACCATGGTGTTAATCCAGAGTCAACAACTATAGTCTTTTGTTTCAGGTGGTATTCTGTGCAGATGTTTTCAGTAATTAATTAAGTATTGATCTGAACTCTGAATATTATTAGTTTGACTTTAAACTTGATTGGATGTACAGTCAAACAGCTACTGAATGGAGCCAAGACCAAATCCCAAAACCTTCCTAATCTCTGCAGAATTATTATAATATTCCTGCCAGAAGTTCTGTGGCTGCAGCGTAATCCTACAGCTAACTGCTGCTGTTGGGGTTTGCAACTAACCGTAGCATTCTGTGCAGGCAGAAACTTGAGGTGCATCTGATGACAACGTAAAGTTTCTAAAATCCTGCGTGCATGTGTCACTCAGAGAGCTGTGGTCAGCGCTGCAGCCGCACAGCAGCAAGGTTTCTGTGTCGATCGTGCATCAAATTACAAACTGCTGAGACTTGAGGAGTTTCAAGACAAGAACAACGATCCTCTTTGGTCTGGATCCGGCCTGCATTAGCCGTTAGCACGACAGTCGGACGGAATGAAACTATTTTTCCTAATGAAAGTAGTTTTTCCCAGAACAGCACCTTAAAAAGTCTGAATGCTTGTTTTGATGGTTGATGATTGATCTACTCTCAGAACCTGTAGAGTCAAATAGAGCCCAATCAATATCAATACTGATATTGGTGCGGTGGAAGGCTAATGTCGATAACTGATATAATGGCTGAAAAATTTTGAGCTTTGTCCACCCCCAACAATCTAATGCCCCTTTTCCATTAGTACCGGTACGGGCCGGTACTAATGGAAAAGGGGCATAAGTACCATATTTTACGGTGTATAAGTCGCATTTATTATGCGTCACCGCTGACCCGTCATGTTTATTATGTGTTTATTTAATGGTCAAAACAGCTTAATTTTGCCTTGGCAGCATGGCGCCATCTATCCATCCATCCATCCATCCATCCATCCATCCATCTTTGAACCCTCCCGTGCGTGCTTGCTTCACTCACATCGATCGATGATCGATCCATCGATCAAAGCCAAAGCTGCTAGCTCTCCAGCGTTCCTCCGCCTGCACCAGCTGAGTGAAGCAAGCACGCACGGGAGGGCTCACTGTTACAGTTCTTATAAATTTAAAGCATCAGTCAAAAATTGTTATGAATATGGAAAATTAAAAAACTTATATAAGTTGCTTCGTATAAGTTGTAGAACTGACAAATCTATGCAAAAAACTGTGACTTATACGCCGTAAAATACAGTAAACAGCTACTTTTAAACCTGTTTTAACACTTGAAGTCTTGAAGCAGTCTTCCTAACGTGCGTTCACACTTTCTATCCTCCACTATTCACCATAAAGTTATCAAGTGTGTTACAAAAATATAAATTAAACAAAGAAGCACCCTTCTCTGTTCATTGTTTAAACAGCCAGTCACGTATAGTGAAGGTCTAATTAGCATTGACCACAGCAGTGTTTTGTTTTCCCTTTGCAGAGCACACAAACAATGCTTTTCATTGAGGACGACAAAGATAACGTTACTAACACTGATATAGTTTTCCTTTACATTAGATTTATTGTTCTGGATAAAGTTTTACAAGGCAATAGCCTATGCTACATTATCCAAAAGTTAGCCTGCTAACTTGAGAGGCACGTAGCTGTTCACAAGTGGGTTGGAGGATTCAAGGGTATTTCCATCCATCCATTATTTTTACCCGCTTCTTCCTTTTCAGGTCACGGGGGTCGCTGGTGCCCATGTCCAGCAGTCACTGTGCAAGATATATGAAGAGAATTTATTATTGTTAATTTATTTTAAAAATCCTTTACAATAAACTTAACATGCGTAGCTACTCAACCTTAGCCTTTCTCCTGATTTGTACTTTAGGTCTTTAATGTGCTCATTTTTTGGGGGGTGTCACTCATCACGGTGCAAGGAGGGGACTTGGAAACACTCTCTGTCAGTCTGTCCGTCCAGTTTTGATCTCATGAGCTGAATAACTTAAAAATAAGTGAAATACCGACCCATTTTGGTGTGTGGCTGTATCTAGGCGTGGGAAAAGTCACTATCAAAAATTGGATCTCTCATATACATATGTGTAAACCAGTCATTCGAAGAAACTTTGCTTTTTAGTTTTTATTTAGCATAAAAGAGAAGATTCCTTCAATGATTAGGGTGGCCAAAGATGAATCTATGGTGGCCACCGTTGGCCACCCCCTGGCTCCACCATTGCTCCTGATGTTGGATCAAACTGTGCCGTCCTCTCACCAGGAGCTGTCACTCTGTGCTGCCTGGGACAATATAAAACATCCGCCTCTCCTCTTCTCCACAGTGTGACTCCTACCCACTTGAGTATCGTGCACTGAAAACATTAAGTTTTATTCCCTGTTCATTTCCAGTCCAGAAAAACACTCATCTGAAAAACTGCAAACATTCACTATTCAAATCCCTCAGCGATGGAGGACGTCTGTGTACCGCTTGTTAAATGAATAATCAGAGCCCATAAATACTGTATCTATACAGTACATAAATACTGTATCTATACAGTACATAAATACTGCATCTATACAGTGCATACATACTGTATTTATACAGTGCATAAATACTGTATTTATACAGTACATAAATACTGCATCTATACAGTACATAAATACTGTATTTATACAGTACATAAATACTGTATTTATACAGTACATAAATACTGTATTTATACAGTACATAAATACTGTATTTATACAGTACATAATTACTGTATCTATACAGTACATAAATACTGTATTTATACAGTACATAAATACTGTATTTATACAGTGCATAAATACTGTATTTATACAGTACATAAATACTGCATTTATACAGTACATAAATACTGTATCTCTACAGTACATAAATACTGCATTTATACAGTACATAAATACTGTATCTATACAGTACATAAATACTGTATCTATACAGTACATAAATACTGTATTTATACAGTACATAAATACTGTATTTATACAGTACATAAATACTGCATTTATACAGTACATAAATACTGCATTTATACAGTACATAAATACTGCATTTATACAGTACATAAATACTGCATTTATACAGTACATAAATACTGCATTTATACAGTGCATATATACTGTATCTATACAGTACATAAATACTGCATTTATACAGTACATAAATACTGCATTTATACAGTACATACTGTATTTATACAGTACATAAATACTGCATTTATACAGTACATAAATACTGCATTTTTTTCTAATTTTCTTATTCAGTTGTATATACATTACTAAAATTTACATTTTTTTAAATTATTTATTTATTCATTCATTTAAAAGAAAAAAGAAAAAACATTGAATGAAAAGCGTGCAGAAAGAAGAAGAAAATTCTTATAATTTCTGCCCCTTATTTAAACAAATATAAAATAACTACAAAGAACAAGTCGGGCTTGAACAATCCCCAAAGTGAAAACAAAAAATCATCAGGCATTCTTCACATGGTACTTTCCTAACAGTTTTAACTTAATCATCTTTTTAAACATATAAATTGCTTTATTTTTATGAGCTTTTTACATGACTTGTAAAATACTATTTTCAACCGAATCATAACATTTTAACAATTTAATTGATGAAATAATACATTTGTTGGGTTTTTGATTAGGTTCTGTGAAACATGTAATGTCACTTTTTTTTTTTTTTGATACTTTCTTTAAATAAAATCTACGAACACAAAGAAAACTCTGTTTGGAGTCGTGTTCGATTCTCATTGGACACTAAGTGTTCCTACGTGATTTCACCAACTTCATATTTATAGATGGTGATGTACATCATGTCGAACACTGAAACACTCGTAGATCAAGATTTATCGCGCCTTTGTTTCCTCAGAGAAAACGACATTATTGGGTCTTGGACTGGAAGAGCATCACTCTGTACCAGAACGAGAGCAGCACCAAGTACTACAAGGTACGGAAGAAGTGAAGACGTTTTGATCATCAGCAGTGATGAGGATTCATCCACTGATGCTCCGACATATTTCTGTTGTGATGCAAGTTAAAAACAAGTTCACTTCTACTGATGGTCGGTGCTGAACCCCCTCCCCCTCTTCTGCAGGAGATCCCTCTGTCAGAGGTGCTGCAGGTCCGAGGCCCCTCCCAGCTCTCTGTGCCCGCGTTGCCAGGCAACAACTCTCACTCCCTTGAGCTGGTGACGGCCTCGCTGGTGTTCTGCGTGCAGGCGGGCTTGGACGGCGCTGTGTGGGAGAGCTCCATCTATCAGGCTCTGATGCCCGTGCAGAGCAGGAGACCTGGAGAGGGGCACCAGGGTGAGACGACCACAACGTCCATCTGCGTCAGATCATGAAGTCCTAAATGTAGCCATCTTTATTTCTAAACCCCGTGTGCTCCTGCTTGCAGATCAGGACCGAGACAGAGGCGGCGTGGTGAGGACCTGCTTCTAGTCTGAACCCCTCGCTCCGAGTGTCGCTCTTCAGGGTGTGACTGTGTGCTTGTGTTTCAGGACATCAGCGCCTTCTACCAGATCTTTACAGATGAGGTTCTGGGTTCAGGACAGTTTGGAGTGGTGTACAAAGGTACCACTTTGACTTGCAACACAGAAAGTTGATGTTTTTTATCCATTCAGGGTTGAAGTACCTGTGCAAAGAATGAAGCAGTCATGGAAAAAGGAAAGTTCACAAAACCAGCCACTTGGGAGAACAAGCCAGTGTATCTTTGTGTCAGTTCCAAGCCCAGGTAATTGTTGAGGGTTGTGTCAGGACGGGCATCAGGCGTAAAAAATACAACATACCAGATCGGTCGAGGCCCGAGTTACCAACTACTGTCACCCGTGCTGTTGACAAACAGGGTGCCGGTGGAAATCGTGCTACTTATAATCGAAGAGCACGAGGAGGAAAATACATCAGGAGACAGAGGGAGGAAAGTCAAGAATGTAGGACTGAGGGTGGACACTCTGGCTGACATGATGCTGAGAAGGAAGGTAGATGTTTTAAGGTTAAAGAACAGATCTATGGATGCAGTTAGAGAAGACATGGAGGTAGTTGAAGTGAGGTCAGAGTGAGATGGAGGAGGATGATCTGCTGCTGCGATCCCTTAAACAGGATCAGCCGAAAGAGGAAGAAGAGCAGAAAAGAAAAATTCACCCACTTTCAGAAAATGGATCTGGTCTTTACCAGGTGCTAAGATTATTAATATTTCATCTGAAGTGTACAAAAGCACACAACAGATCCAATCATGACGTTATTTATTAAACAAAAACAACTAAAAATGGAAAAGTTGTGTGAGAAAACTAAATATTTTCCAGTTGCATCTATTGGATTGGAGGGAAAAGTAGCTGCTAGAACGTATTGATTAACTGATCATCATCTGTGTGAGCGCCTCTAGAAAATCAGAAGGTTTTTTTTTTTTAGATTGATTTATTGACAACACATCAAAGTACATTTGCCATTTTTATACAATGTATAAAATACAATATTAACAAAAAAAAAAAAAAGAACATTTACCCTCCCCTCCCCATGCCCCTGAATGGTACCGTTTAAAAAAAAAAAAAACCTTCACAGCACCTAGATCTTTGGGATACCTTAAAATATATATATATATAAAAAAAAGGGCAGAAGTTTTGTCAGTTTGTTGCTTTGGAGCATACAGCTGTGTGTTAACACAATGCCAAGATGGAAATACATCAGCAATAACCTTAAAGAAGCAACTGCATCAGTCTGGGAAGGGTTAAAGGTCATTTTCCAAACAGTTAAAGATCCATCATCCTACAGTGAGAACAGCTGCCAGTGTTCTCTGGAGTGGACAGCCCAGCAAATTCACCCCAAAGTCAGACTGTGCAATGCTCACAGAAATGACAAAAGCCCAAGAGCTCCATCTCAGACTCTACAGGCTCAGTTGGCAGGTTAAAGGTCATTACAGGGTCATTGGGGAAAGTCGTACCAGACATGGCTGGTTGGGAAAGGTTCCCAGGAGAAAACCTAGTCGCTCTTTGATGGTTCAGAACTCTGCTGCCCACGTCATCATCCACACCTCCTCGTATCATCACTTCACTCCCGTCCTGCAGCAGCTTCACTGGCTCCCAGTTAAATCTCGCTTCATCTTCAGAATTATTCTTTAGCCTTTAAAGCCGTCCAGTCTCGCCCCTCCGTATTTCTCTGACCTCCTCCAGATCTCCATCCCCTCCTGCTCCCTCAGATCTGCCTCCTCCCTCCACCCCTCTGTACCTTCTGCCCACCTCACCACCATGGGGGTCTGATCAGAATGAACCACATGTCCTTTGGACAGACCTTTTAAAGCAAGTTGCTGAGATTTCTGGCCAAATACCTCGTATAAACTGTGAAGCATGGCGGTGGAGGGATGATGATCTGTGCATCTTGCAGACATTGAGTTGAACAATAAACTCTAACCCTAGAATTAAAAGAGGAACTGTCTTCTTCCCATGGAGGATGCAACATTAAGTTATGTAGTATTTTCTACTGTTTTAATTGCAAGCATGTAATTTGTTGTTCCTTAGGTACTCACAGGAAGACGGGTCGATCGGTCGCCATCAAAGTCATCGACAAGACCCGCTTCCCCACCAAGCAAGAGCGACAGCTGAGGAATGAAGTGGCCATTCTGCAGGTGTGTGCACTTGTCTCTCTGCAGTGTTCACCATGTTATTTCCTCTGACGTCTGAAACTTTTGCACGTTTTGTCCAGAATCTGTCCCACCCCGGTGTGGTTCTGCTGGAAGGGATGTTTGAAACGTCTCGGCACGTTTTCGTCGTCATGGAGAAGCTCCACGGAGACATGCTGGAGATGATCCTGTCCAGCGAGAAAGGCCGGCTCCCTGAACGCATCACTCGTTTCCTGCTCATGCAGGTGAGTGTCCTGTAGTTTACTCACTTTTTGCCTGAAATCAGAAAAACAAAAAGAAAGTCTTGTGTTCTGGATGCAGATCCTCGAGGCGTTGCGGTACCTTCACCTGAAACACATAGCTCACTGCGACCTGAAACCAGAGAACGTCCTGCTGGTCTCCGCGGACCCCTTCCCCCAGGTGAAGCTGTGCGACTTTGGCTTCGCCCGCATCATCGGCGAGAAATCGTTCCGCCGCTCGGTGGTGGGAACGCCAGCCTACCTGGCGCCTGAGGTGATCAGCAGCAGTGGCTACAACCGCTCCCTGGACATGTGGTCGGTGGGGGTCATCATGTACGTCAGCCTGAGCGGGACGTTCCCCTTCAATGAGGACGAGGACATCCGGCAACAGATCACCAACGCTGCCTTTATGTACCCACGCCACCCCTGGACCTCCATCTCCCTGGAAGGTCAGGCTGTCGGTTCTGGTTTGGGACTAGTGCTAACAGACGCTTGGTTAATGTTTGAAACAATCTGGTGTTAGTTTGGTCAGGATTGGATTTGTTCTTTCTTTTTAGGTGTGAGTCTGATCAACAACCTGCTGCAGGTGTCTGTGAGACGCAGGTTCACTGTGGGCAAAGCTCTGGGACACTCCTGGCTACAGGTCTCACACCTTACCCTCCAACTTCATGTTGTGTAGATCATTGTTTAGTCCCAGGGAAAGAAAGGCCAGTCACTGTCAGCCATAGGGTTGAACATATCAGGACATTACACAATTTTTTTTTTTTTTTTAAACTAGGTTCTAAAATGATGTAAATCTGACCTTGTGTACAAAAACATAACAGATCCCACGTGTCAGCAAGAAACCCAGTTAACACAGTTCAACAAGTTTCTTTTAACTGCAGCTGCACCACAAACGTATTGACCAAAAGCACCAATATGGACGTAATAAATTATCGTACTTGCTGCCGTACATGTCGCACCAGTCCAAATATGTCTAATAAAGTAGAAAAAAAGAAAAGTCACCTCGCCGTGTAAGTCGCATCGATTATGCATCGCCGCTGACAACCAAAGAACGTGGGCCGGTGTTGTGCCAAAAGCTGCCAAATGGCAGCAGCGGGAGCATGCACGAGAGGACTTTAACAAGAATTTAACAAGATTAACACTTAAAAACAATTATTTGTTTGCTCGACATTATAGTAAAGGTGTGTCTCAGTTGAAATTTTACTTAATAAATGCACTTTAACAGTCAAATCAGCTGCATTTCACCTGGGCGGCAAAATGCAGCTGATTTTTGACGTTTGCTCCAGGGGTTCCGGAGCGAGACGAAGGTGGCTCTGTATGGCAAGCCAAGTGTCTCATTAATAGCCACTTTTACCTATTACATGTCACAATGGCATGTCATACTACTCGAGTGCCATCTAGTGGCTGAAAATGGTAGTGTTCAATATTTTCCATGTCAGAATGAATGAAATCGTCAGATCTCAGCCAAACATTGGTTATAAATATGGGGGGAAAAAACACATATCAGTCGCTTCGGTGTATAAGTCGCAGGACTTGCAAATTTATGCAAAAAGGTGTGACTTGTGCAGTGAAAAAATACAGTAATAAAAATAGAAAACATTTGAATAACATACATTTTACTCTCCCAAAGCTTTATCTGTACACAAACTCCATCCCCCTTTCTTTCCTCAGAGTTCAAGTCCTCTGTCCTGCAGGCAGGGCTTAATTTGTAAACCAGTTGATACCAGAACACAACTAGCAGATGGGCTGGGTGTCCTCCCCCAGAATATTTTGATCAAAGTAGATGCAATTTCCTGCATTTTGGTGTAGTTTTGCAGGTTGTTAAACATCTACGTTTACCTAAACATTCTGCTTCTGTCAAGCATCCTACTCCCTTCCACCTTACTTGACCGTTCCGAGCCCGACTCTGTCGCTGCTCATCATTGTCAGACTCCGCATGTGAAACCTCCAGGCGCCTCTGTGCTCCTGCCCACGTACGACTGCCTGGTTAGCTTGGCACTCACTCCCACCACACTTTTAGGGGCGGAGATGTTTTTAAGAGTAGATGTGAAGATGCTACTTGAAGAGGCAGATTGTATGAGATATTAAGAAGTCGTGACTGTTGTGTTTAAAATGAGTGTTTATGTAATTATTTTCAGTTTACATATCCAATATACATTTTATTTGTTCAAGGCAGTCATATTTGGTCATAACTTTATTATTAGTAAGCCTGTTGTTACCAGTTACCAGAACGCACCCTGTCAAAATAAGAGTTCCCGGATCTTGTTCCAGCAGGATCCAGCTCAAATTGAGCCCTGCCTACAGGTCATCACTGTGTTTCTGTTTCAACAAGTGTGGGGTTTCTGTGTTTTGTCCTGTCTTTTCTGTGTCTTCGTGTTTCCTGCTCCCCAGTGTTTCCCCTCCTTGTTGTTCAGCTCCTGTCGCACCTGTCTCCTGTTCCTGTCACCCCAGGTGTTTGTCATTCTGTCTCATTAGTGTCTCTGTGGTTTCTCCTCTGTCTGTGGATCGTGCTGTCATGGGCTGTGTCTGCTCCTCCATAAATGTAAGTTGTGTTGCCCCGTCAGCATTTTGTTTCGTATGGTTTAAATAACTAAAAATCTTTTATTTTTACCTGAAGTCTCCCGTTGCCTGCTGCACGTGGGCCCAAACAACAAAAATAACAGATCATGAAAACAAGAAGTCCTCGACTGTCGTCACACAAGCGAACGCTGAGAGTCGAGTTTTTTCTGTCGTATTTCTGACATAACTTTCAGTTCACTTTAGGGCTGAGAATGTCCGCTCGACATTTATCTTGTGCAGGACGCTACAAATGCAGTTGGCTCTGACCAGTCTGCTGTCTGACCGTCCAATCAAACAACGTGAAAAATGCTGACGTTGTTGAAGGCCTGCTAGAAGGCCCTGGTGTCATCAACTCAGCATGTGATTGGTCAAAGCAACCGTTTCATTAGTTTTAAGCTACAGCGCCTGCATTGTTGATTCTGAAGGCCATGAGGCAGATTAATTTGACCCTAGCAACAGATTGAAATATGATTGGATAAAAGCTCTGTATGAACATGTGCTGCTGGAAGCTGCACAACCAGAAGATGTGAACTGAAGACAGCAGACATTTCAGAATGTAATAATTAATAGAAAAAGTCAATTAAAACATAAGTTAGTGATTCTGATGGTCCACCATTGTTGTGAAGATGTGAGAACTAAGTCAGCAGCTTGTAGTCACTTTTAGCAGCAGCAAACCTTCAGGAGAGATTTCTGTCTTTTATCAGTGTCACGTGGTTGTGGATGAATTTTTGTCCCACTCTTCTTTCCAACGTTGCTTCAGTTCACTAAAGTGTGCACTTTTGTTTCTACACAGCTTTCCTAACGTCCCACCTCAACATTTAACTCAGGTTGAAGGACGTTAACAGGATCATGGAAACACTTTTGATTTTCAGCCGTTCTGCTGTTTCAGAACATTGTCCCGTTTTATGACCCGGTCCGGTCAGAGCTTCGGCTGTTGGACAGGTGTCCTCACCTTTGAATCCTTTGGTCTACAGGAGTTCATGGTCAACTCGATGACTTGAAACTGTTGGTGTGAGGTGTTTGTTCTGGTACGCCGTTTTGTGTTTTTCCAAACATGGAGCTGTGAATTATGGGTAAACGTGTCTACTTTGGTCTTCTCTAACGGACATTGTTCCAGAAGTCTGGATTCATTCAGGTGAAACCTAGAGCTCCCTGCACCTGAAGCGGTGAAACCTCTCGTTGACGTAGCAGCGCGACGCGTCGTTTTGTTGTCAGAGCAGCTTCGCCCTCTCGACACAAAACCTGGGCCCAACGTTAAAAACTAAGAAGTGTGACTGGGCAGAAGTTTGTGGGCGATGCATCGTGACATGCAGCTGTACGACTCATTAAACTCTGAATCAGTCAAATGGTGTAAAACTCCTGGATGGAGGTCGAGCAGACGTCGTGCACGGAGGAGTCCGTCTGCTGACCAACGGATCGTTTCCATTTTGTCTCTGATTTGGTTTAATGACACACTAGACTCTGTTGTGTTTTTGAACACTTGAATGTAGGTCTGGTTTTTGCCCATACCTGTGAAGCTATCACCTGCTGTCATGAAAGAAAGTCTGCCTGTTAGCAAAATATCACATGAAACAGTGACATTAATTTTAATGCAACTATTATTAACTCTGAATTAATTTGATGATCTCAGTCTGATTCAAGATGGCTGCCCCAACTCATCAACCTCTGTAAACACAAACGGGCTGCAGCCGAGTCAGTTTTCCAGATGTTGAGCTAGCATTTGGTGTGGTAGTAGCTGAGAGTCATCTCCAACATGCACGCTGAATAAAAGCTGGATCAACGCTCTGCTTTCTTTAATTCATTGTTCTTCGTCCTCCCTCCTGCAGGATTTCCAGCTGTGGTGTGACCTCAGGGAGTTTGAGAGGAGGATGGGCTGCAGGTACCTGACCCATCGGACCGAAGAGGACCACTGGACGCATTACGCTCGGGAAAAGGGACTCTGCCTCCCCCCTCATCTCTACTGGGACCCCAACAATGAAGTGGACCTCTGATGAACCAGTTCAGGCTGCCAGATGTTCACGGAACTTATTTACCAGCGTGTAAAAGAAAACCCAAACTTCAGTTTAATAATATAATATTCCTTTTTATTCCAACTTTTTTTAAATATAGTTGTTTGAAAGAGTTTTTGTAGCATCAGTGGTGACAGAACGAACTGATAATGGGGGGGGGGGGGGGGGAGAATGGAGCACAGATGAAAGTCACACATCAGCATGAACAGAGGAGTCGACTCGCACCCATCATCACGGCTGAGCAGGTTTTTTAAGGGACCAGAATCCTTTGCGTTTCCTGCCTGATGCAGGCCTGCTGTGGTCCCACGTCCAGCCCTGATATTCATTCACAACTTTCCTGACGCCCTGTTGTCTCTTCTCACCTCCTCCTGTTTCTCCTCCTAACTCGTCGTTCACCTGAGCTAAAAGGAGTGAAGAGGCTCCTTCTGTTTTCATTCCAGAGTCACCGTCCTTGTTGGGTTTTTTTTTTTTACCCATGGTGCTTTGCTCTGAGCTGCTCTCTCTGTTTTCATCTTAACATCTGGTGCTTTCATTCATCCTTCATTTGATCCTGGGGATCTCAGGGCTTCAAGATCTCCAGGGTAAAGTTCCTCGGCTAACTTTCAGGCTTCACGTCGTGTTTTCACGTCGAGACGCTCGTCTCGGTGACAGAACAGCGCCTGACCTGCTTTGCCCCTCTGCTGGTTGTTACCAGGCTCCTACAGATGCTGTTTTAAGTTTCAGTGGTGAAGGAAGAGTCGGTGACTCAAAGACAGTTTCTAAACCTCAACATAGCATGCATCTGCACAAATACACAACCAAGCCAACCAGCCTTTTAATCACATTTTCTTCTTTAATCACCCTTCTGCAAAAATAATCATCAGACAGGGAGAGGAAGAGCAGGAGGCTTTGCTCAAATCACTCGTCTGTAACGGCTCCTTAACGCAGGCTTCTTTTACCCGTTGCACTTGCAGTTCTTGGGATTTGAGCAAAGTCCCCCACTCTCCTCCTCCTCAGGTTCCTGGGTGTGACGGGACGGAAGGGAGCAGCGGGGAGAAACTTCAGATTCGTGAGAGGAATAAAACGATGAGAACAAAGCATTTTAGAAGGACAGTGGAAGGGTTTAACATCACGCTCTCCTAACAGGAGAAATAGAAGCTGGGGAGGAAGAGGAGGAGGTGGCGAGGAGAAACGCGGCTTTGTTTATAAGTCGCTCTCTCCGTACAGGGCGCTGGAGAAAGAGATGTAGTCCAGGGCGCCGGGGGGAGCCTCGCCTCCGACGTACCTGGTCATGCGGCTGATGCAGTACTCTGCCTGCTCGGGCGGTAGCTCCCTGCGCAGCTCGTCCACTGTGATGTAGCTCTGCAGGGGGGGGGGGGGGGTGTTATCTCAGGTCTGCTGTAAGGATGGTCTGTGTGTGTGTGTGTGTGTGTGTGTGTGAGTGTGTGTGTGTTTACCTTGTCTGAGGCCAGGATCTTGAAGGAAGCCATGACTTGCTCGGCGGTGTCGGTCTCGGCGGTCTCGCGGGTCATGAAGTCGATGAAGGCCTGGAAGGTCACCACGCCGGTGTTGTTGGGGTCCACCAGGGTCATGATGCGGGCAAACTCAACCTCACCCTGTTTAGAGGAACAGAGCCCCACATCGTCACTGGGAATGTAAACCAGTCCTTACATAACATTTACACAGTAACATGTAAAAGTTTTAACTACCTTCTTTATATTTTCCTTCTAAGACACGATCTCAATCAATCCAGGAGTTTCTAAAGATGTTTTTCTGTCTTTTTTTGGTGTAAAAATCATTGACTCAATGGAAAAGTAATCTCTGGTAAATGTTTTAAAATCCATCAAAGACCTGGCAACTGCGTCGTCCTTCAGGTTCTAATCAACTGCGATGGTTGCAAACTTTTTCAGTCTTCGATCCACTAAACTAATCCTGACGCTGTTTGAAACAAATCAATTCAACAGTTTTGTCAACGTTATTCTTTATCAATTCGTGGCTACAGTTTTTTTTTTAATGCAACGACTGGGGCTCATTTTTAAACTTAATTTGATTCTGTCACATTTTCATCTCTTTGTAAATCACCTTGTTGGTGCTAAAATATTATTTTATCTGTGAAACTGTTGAGTTAAATCTGTGAAAAATACCAAAGAAAATGGAAAATGTTGTTTGTTCTTGTGACAGACTGCTCATAAATGAGAACCTAAAGATCCAATTTAAACCCGTTTTTAAAGTCGTGTAACGCGTCTACGTCACTTGGGCATCTGTTTAGTTAATAAAAAGTTGCTTTTTTAATGGTTGGACATTGAACTGAAAATAAGTTTTAAGAAAAGCTGTGGGGGAAAAACTTTTAAACACCTTAAAATCTACAGAACTATTGATTAAGATAACAGAAAATAGTGGTTCCCAACCGTGGTCCTTGAGGAACACCATCCTGCTTGTTTTAGTTATTTCTCTGCTCCAACACAGCTGATTCAGTGGTTTAATTTAAGTTTGGCAGAAACCTGTTAATCACCCTTTCATTCAAATCAGGTGTGTTGGAGCAGAGGAACAACTAAAACAAGCAGGGTGGTGTTCCTCAGGGACCACGGTTGGGAACCACTAGAACTGCTTGTAAGCAAAATATAAAGAAATGCAGGATGTCTCAAGATTATAAACTGAAAATGTTCAAACCTGGTTCTTGTCTACTGAAACAAGCCAAGACTAAAACTGAACCACCCTCTGTGTCCAGATGTTTCACTTACCAGATCGTAGCCCATGGAGATGAGGCAGGCGCGGAAGTCGTCGGGGTCCATCATGCCGTTTCTCTTCTGCAAGGAAAATCAAATCCACTTGTTTTTATGTTCGAGCTAAATCCACAGTTTACGTCTGGCCGGTTCGCCTCACCCTGTCGAAGTGGTTGAAGGAGGCCCTGAACTCGTTGAGCTGCTCCTGGCTGATGCCCTTGGCGTCGCGGGTCAGGATCTGGTTTTCCACCTCGTTGATGGTTCTGGCGATGGTGGTGAGCAGCTGCTCCCAGCCCACGCGCACGTGCTGCAGGAGTGAAGGACAGAGAGTGAAGCAGACTGAGGGGGGAGGCGTTGAAGCACAGAGGGCAGATGTTGGGGCAGGGGGTGGGCTCGCAGCACCTCCATGGTGTAGTTGGTGTGTTTGTTGTCGAAGATCAGGGACTCCTGGCTGAGCTGGTGGTCTCCCTCCAGCTTGTCGATGTTGGACTTGTAGTTGATGATGTTCTGCTCGTACTGCTTCAGGCTGTTCATCTGTTCCTCCAGGGAGCCGGCGATGTCCACGGACACGTGGCTGATCTCCTGCAGACAACAAGAGGGCGTTAACAGTTCCACTTGTTCTGAGTCGAGTGTTTCATGTTCGGTCTTTTAAACCAGGAGTTCTCAAACTTTTGGGTTCAGGGACCCCCTCATGTTTATTAAATAATTTTCTTCAATTTGTCTCTTTAATGCAATGAAAATATTTGTGTAACATAAATACTTTAAGACCTATTATTTAATAGTGTTAATACATTTTTTATACTTTTAAACATGGAGTATTTCTCATTCAAGACACAATTAACAAAACTTTTAATTTCAACTTCCAAAGATTACAGTTTGGAGAAAATTAACAGAATTAAAAACCACTTTAAAACTTTACCTATTCATATAATGAACATAAATGTGTTGATACTTCTTCAAATTATTACAGAAAACTCTTGATATAAAACTGAACAGAATCAGAACAGCAGCAGTCAGACCAAGTAACAGGACTTCATTAGTAAACTGATCCATGCTGGAATGCAGATAGCAGGTGGATGGAGGGGGGGGGGAAGATTTTGAACAAAGCAGATGTGATTTCCTGCATTTTGGTGTATTTTATTTAACGGGTTGGTAAACATCTACGTGATTGTAAAAAAAAAATAAATAAATTTATAGGCCTATGCTTGTTTTTTTTCTTTCTTTTTTTGGCGAACCCCCCCCAAAGCACTGGCTCGTGGACCCCTAGGGGTCCGGGGACCACAGTTTGAGAACCTCTGCTTTAAAGTCTGCTCTAGTTCCACCTTTCAATTTGTGTCCTGGTCATAATTTCAAACATCAATATTTACAATAATTTAGGTTAAAATTGTAAAAAGTCTGCTTTAGATAATAAATTATTTGTACCAATACATCGTTTTGTTTGTTATTTTCCTTAAGCATCTTTGTTGACTGACTAATAAATTTGCAACAGGAATATGTTCGGAGTTGATTTATTCTAAAACCATAAACATCAACATCCGACAGACTGAGGTTGTTTTCCTCTGAGGGGTCAGTGAGGTGTTTACCTCCATCTTGGTTTGAATCCAGGGTCCGATGATGTTGGCCTGAGCAGCAAACTGGCGCCTCAGCCTCTCGTTGGCCTGCTGTCGGGCCACCTCCTCCTGAAGCATTTGGTCTCTGAGGGGCACAAAGTGCTTCACCTGCAGACGGACGAGAAAACCGTTCATTTAAAGTAATATTACTTCAAAGTGGATACACTTTATTTCTGACACTTAACCTGCTCTTGCATTGAGAAAGTTTAAAGACGAGTGAGTGACGAGTTATATTTTACATTTCCTCACAGATGGTTGGGTATATTCAGCCGGCTCTGACAGATTGTCCTTGGTAGTTATTCTCATCTCGAGAATTTACAGGCTGCAGTTTTCTGTCCCTCTAAATGCACAACACTATTCCTGACCCTTCACTCAGGATGCACTGTACTTATTTATAGCCCGATGACCAAATGCAGAGACACGGTGTTGGTTTGTGTTTCCTGTTTTTAATTACGTCAACTTAGACAAACCAGTAATAAATTATTAAAATGGAGTTCCACCACACATTTCTTCTTGGAGACGATGATTCTGTATAGATGTGCTGTTTCACTCACAGTGTCCCATTTAGTGCTGATGTCCTGTGGAGACAGGTTGGTGTACGGGTTGATTCCGGACAGTTTGATGCCGTAGGTCTGGGCGATCTTCAGGATCTCGTTGTGGATGCCCAAGGTGGCCATGCGCTCCTTGTCAGCCTCAGGCAGAGTGGCCTTGAACTGGTCGTGAGCTGTGATCAGACTCTGGACCACAGAAAGAAGGTGTGACACTTAATCAACCCGCATTTGTCATTTATAAAATTTATAACAGTGGACTAAAAGAAAATAATACATTTTTTTGGGCAGTTTAACTTTTTAAAATACTTCCGAGTATCTCACTGGGCTGCAGTAATGTGCACTATTGTAGTGTATTGTGGTGTTAAGAGCCCCTGAAAACAGTTCAAGACATTCTGGAGACGAGTGCTGCCCTCAGTCGCAGCTTGCCAAGATAGTACCTTAAAGTTATCTTACTCTGGGCGGGTTTTCAACAAGAACCACTAAACAAACGTCTAAATGTTGGAGTACCTGGATCTCCTCAATGCTGTGGACAATGAACATGTCCTGCAGGTCCTCCATGGCTCCGTCCATCCAGTTATTGAAGGGCGCTGCCCTCTTGGCAAACTCCAGGTACAGCTGGTCAATGGTCTCCCACAGTTTCTCCACGCGCTAAAGTCACCCAAACATATGGGAGAACATGTCAACTTCAAGGGTGTACTCAACAGTCTGTACGTTTGTTTATTTTTGTTTACCTCCAGAGCGTCCCTCCTCTTCTGGGTGAGGGTCCCCAGGTTGTCCCACTGGTCACAGATGCCCTGGCAGCGAGCGTTAACCGTAGCAGAGTCGTGGTAGTCCAGCTCACTGGTGGAGACGATAAATAAACATCACGGCTCTAAACTCGCCACTAAAATGACAAATGTTAGAATTACAATCCTATTTCACAATGTTTCTTTCTCTAAAATAGATGAGATTGGATTAGTAACTAAAGGGCTGCACGGTGCATCAATAACTCAAGGGCTGCGCGGTGCATCAGTTACTAAAGGCCTGCGCTGTGCATCAGTTACTAAAGGGCTGCGTTGTACATCAATAACTAAAGGGCTGCGCTGTGCATCAGTTACTGATGCACAGCGCAGCCCTTTAGTTACTGATGCACAGCACAGCCCTTTAGT